AAAAATAATCCCTGCCACCTGTAGAAGTTTGTTGGGTTGAAGAGACCCCCATGCAGCTCACAGAGAAGCTTGTGGATGTACAAGGAAGCTGAGACTTCATGGAAAGGACTGAAATGAGGCAGAGTCCTGCTGAAGATATATGACCCTGAGAGAAAGGCTTACGCTGGAGCAAAAATGTGTTGGGTAAGCTTGGGATCTCAGTGAGAGATCCATGCTGCTGGTGCTAGAGATTTGGAAAAGAGACTTACACTGGAGCAGAACGGCTCAGGTAAAATTTGGGAATCCAAGTAAGGGATCCATGCTAGACCCATGCCGGAAAGGTCTATCAAGGGAGGGACCTCCATACAGAAACAGGGGTGAACTCATAAGCCATTATCCCCTGTAACCCTGTGGAAGAACATCCATGGTAGGCAAGTGTCCCCTTGCAAGCCCATGGAAGAAAAAACCTTCAGGGCCTGGGTAACCCCCAGCCTCTGGTCTTAGCCCAGGAGCGGGGTAGGCCCAGCGCTGGAGGCGAACACAGAGCAAGAGAGAAAGAGTTCCAGCTGTGACGAGAATGCTGCAGAGTTATTGAAGAGACCTGGAGCTTCAAGAATGGAAAAAAACCCTGCTCCTCATCCTTGGACTGATATAAAAGGAGGAGAAGTATTTCTGTAAATACATAGTACTTTTACTTAAGTAGAATTATTGTAGACATAGTTCTTTAGTTTTAGCTTTTTAGTAATAAATGCTAATATTATTTTTCCAGGTCTCTTTTGTCTGCATTAACCTTATCTCAACTTACAGTAATTGTGTGAGGAGTGAAAAAAATTGACCCAGAGCAAACCCACGACAACTAGAAAGACTCCAGCTTAAGCCTACTGAAAACAAAGTTGTCAAGCTGATAATTCAGTCATTTAAGAAAGGAAAGAAAAAGGCACGTTGAGTTGTTTGGCTCAGAGTCAGTACTCAGCGCTGTTCTGGGCAGTGAGGACCAGACACCTTTGTCTGTCTGGCACAAGATCCCCTCCTGCCTGCAGCTGACACACACCCCCCCATCTTAGAGATGGTTAGATATATTGTCCCACTCAAAAAAACCTGATCATTTCCTGTAAGCTAAATATAAGAGAAAGAGTGTTCCTTTTCATATTGAAGTATTGCTTTTTAGCTGCTGTTTCTACTGCAAGAGTCATGCATAAACATAACAATCGTTTTCGCAGAAATATAGGCACAGATCTTAGAGTCATAGAATCATAAAATGGTTTAGGTTGGAAAAGACCTATAAGATCATCAAGTCCACTGTAAAAGTAACATCACCAAGTGCACCACTGCCATCAGTCCACAAAGCAGAGCTCTGGCCTGCAGCTGTTTTACAAGATTTTTTACAACGCCTTTCCTAAATGATGTATCAAATTTTATTCAACTCAAAACTCCCTGTTGCACTATATTCCCCTTTGGTGAGATGCTACAGTCTCATCTGCACTACCCTGTACTTAGCAGAGACATTTCACTCTACATGAGCATAAAGACCAATTTCTCTCAGTTTCCACTTCTCAAAAATCTGTTCTGCTCCAGAAAAGCATCAGTGCACAGTAACCTGACTATATTTAAAGCAGGCAAGTTCCTCTTTCACTCTGAAACTATTGTTTTGCTCACACTGAGTCTGGGAAGTCCAGCAAGCTTATTTTTTCCTGACAACCTCCTTTCTAGCCAAGTGCCCCAATTTTTCTGACCTCTACTCGGTCTCACTTTCATTCAGGCAAGGCAGGACAAGATCAGCCAATGCACCAACCCACGTCTCTCCATAATAGCGTGTGGTTTTCACAGGGCTCACTTGTATCAGCTGCAAAGCATCTGGTGCTGCAGAGACAATGTGTGTGGAGGTGAGTGACAGACACCAGTCGCTCTTGATTTACAGGAGCTGGAAACATCTCGGGTGACTACTTACCTGCTAACATTCCAACATTTTCAGTTCTCAAGGGATTTATCTCAGGGGAATCTGAAGGTCAGAGAAATAAGACAGATGTCTTGATATATGCTTAGGGACATCAGCCACTGTCCCTCCTCCTCATCCTCACACCTGCACACCTGTGCACCCTCACACTCTCTCCCACTACTGACAGGAACCTTGGGAGCCCATCAAACCAGCACTGTACTTCATCCCTCAGAGAGGTTGAAGGATGATAAAGTTTCACAGGAGTAATTAAGAGGTATCAGAGCTAGATAGAGGATTTTTGTCTTTTATGCTGTGCTCTTCATACAGGAATTTGTACACAGTGGTGGGATGATGATGTGTCTATTTGCTATTTGTTCGATATGCAATACCACATGAGAATAATAAGAAAATACCAAAGTTTTTTTCAGGGACAGGAGAAAAACTGACCCAATAAGATTCTTCTTTTCTTTTCTTTAAACTTTTCTTCTGTTATCTTTTCTTTTCTATTCCAACTGGGAGACAATGGGAAAAAAAAGGCAATGTTTTTGATTCAGGGAAGAAGCACAATGGAAAAGCAGCCCTCAGCAGCACATATTTGGGGCCAATAACAAGTTCATCTTTGAATTAAATCTACAAATCCCTGAGCACTCACAGCTGTACAACAGGATCCCCACCAGGATGGTGTCTCCTCAGCTCCCTGTAAGAGCCACTTCATGCCCTGAAGTATACAGAGAGAACTTGCTTACTCACTGTTTTATTTGAATGGCAAAACATAGGCACTGTTGTCCTTTATAGTGACAGCTAAATAACTTTTATCTGTCTAAACTGCACATGGCAGCAGTTAGCTCCACAGGTTTTTCTTTGCCTATCAATATTGAAAGCATCAGCTTTTCTAAGGCAGTATTTTCCCATTTTTGAAGTGACTGACACTGTATTATTTCGGTGCTTCTAGGCTTAACCTGAATCCCTATGCTATCACAAGTATTATTGCAGCAGGTTCTAAAGTGGCTTTCTGCCCCCCCCCCCCCCAGGCCATGGCTCATCACTAACTTCTGGTGCTGTCCCTGGGTGCTGTCCACCTGGCACAGAACTCCATCTGGGACTCAGCATGCCAGAGGGAGCAGGGCAGTAGAGGAGCTGCACTCCCCACCCAGATGGGAAATTTTGTGGTGACAGTTCCTCTTGACTTCCTCCACCATGCTGCTGCTAGTGTCTCTCTGCCCCTGCCCGTCAGGCTGCACTGCCTGCAGCAGTGTGGGGCCATGTTGCCTCACAGAGACCATCCATTTACAGGATTTGTGCTTAAAGGAAAAGAAGAAAGTGTTCACCATGTCCAGCTTGTGGCTTGCAACAAATACTACTAATTGTCCCTCTCCTGTGAGGCTGCTGAGAGCTGACACTGCCCACCTGCATCTCCTCAGCCAGAGACAAGCAGAGATGTCGTTCAGCCTCAATATAGAGTTTCAAGTGGACAGAACGACCCGTGCTCAGACCATTCCCGAGGGCTCACAGAGATGCACCTCAGCAAACCCCGACAGGCCACGTGCTCCTGCCCTCAAGGCACACACCTGCACTGTCCCCTACACATCATGGGCTTCAGGCTCCAGGGCATTTCCCTCTGGACACTCAGCTGCTGCCCCTGCTTGTGCTCCTCCACCAGCAGAATTGCTTTGTATCAACTAAAGTGCTCATGCTGGCCAGCTGTGCCACACATGCTTTTACCCACAAGCAAAACGTCTGTGAGGTGACTGGCAGGGTATTGCCAAAGCTGCAGCTTCCATGCAGCCCCGGGACCCACCCTTCCCAGGCCAGGGCTGGCTGAGGAGGTAACTAGTGCTGCACTGACTGTGCTCACACTCCCCACTGCAGCCTGGCAGCTCGGACCAGGGCAGTGCTCCGAGTATTCCCAGCGTTTGGAGCAGTGAGGCAGCCTGTTTCAGGGTGGTGCTTCCCAGACTCTGGTTGACTTCCATGTAATCACCTGACAAAGGTGGGTCAGGCACGTTTAATGAATTTCCCTGGTAGCCACAGAGTAGACTTCTCTGTGTAATACATTGATTTATTTTTGCTTAAATTGAAAATCCTTCATGGGCATTTTAAAGACTAAGCATATCAGGTATGACCTTTTCTTAGCCTGAGCTAAACATTCCTGCTGTCTTCTCACTGCAGTGTGTAAATGCAGTTCATATTCAATTAATGTGACCACATACTTTCTAGAAACATTTTCCAGACCTGTTTGGGTTTTTTTACCTCCTTTCTGTAAGGTTTACTTAAGACTTCTCTTAGAATAAGTTTTGTTACAAAACTCATGACATTCAGAATTTAAAACTACTTTGTAGGAATCCTTTTTTTAATGATTAATAATTCATTCAGAAGAGTAAACAATTCTTGTATGTGCTAACTTTAATAAGAAAGTACTGCAAATGAGATACGCTTTAAATTAGTACAAGAGAGATTCAAGGCATTTGTTTTAAAAACACAGGCCTCAAAACCCCAGGGCTGTCCATTACAAGCCTATGTTGAGGCTTCCTAGGGTTTTGGCTGCTGCATTTTCAATAATTCAAAACTCCGTTTGGGTTTATTTGGGGGTTGTGTTAGTTGTTGTGTTTTTGTTGTTGTTGTTGTTGTTTTTCCCCAAGTGCCATTTATATTCACAGTACATAGCTCTTTCAGCTTCACTGTATGTTTTCCACAGATTACAGCAAATAAAAGCTGTAACTGTGAAGGTTTAGGATTGAGGGAGATTCCTGAAAAACTACCTGTCACAACAGAAATACTCTACTTCATTTTCAATGTTCTGCCTTCACTCCAGAATTCCTTAGAAATTTTCATTTTATTTAGTCGGACATTAAAAACCTCCTGTCTCCCTGCCTCCCACAAATGCCTCCTCACACCCACCATTTCAGGGCAGGTTTTTCTTCTCAGCAGAACCCTGTAATTAAATGTGAACTTAAAAGTACCAGACAAGCATCACTGAAAAAGACACTTTATCATGGTGAAGGCAACTGATCATGAGTTTTTACAGACACGAGGTTCAGCTTGGGTAATCACATATTCCAGGAGAGTTTTGTGGGACAGGCCACTGATGCCGCTTTCTATTGTTTTCTCAAGGTGTCAGATCAACTGGGTGTATGACGGCACCTTTCACAGCAACAGGCAGCTGAAGACAGTTGTGCTGACAGGAAACCTGCTTATGTTTCTGTCTGACACAGCATTCACTGGCCCACATTCCCTGGAGCACCTTGTCTTGACAAAGACAGGAATAACCAGTATCTCTTTCTTTCCAATGACAAATCTGGACAGCTTAGATACCCTCATCTTGGACAGCAACCAAAATCCTTCATTGCAGCTTCTTCCCAACTTTCCCACTCAAAACCTCAAACGTACTGACTTTCAAACGAACAACATATGAGCAATCACAGCAGTAGATGTCCATATTCTGCAGAATATCAGCAATATTCTTCTTGAAAGGCAGTGACATTACATATATTGAACCTAGAGCCTTCCAGTCCCATTTCTAGTTCAGACTTCGGGGGCTGTGCTGATGTCTCTGGGGTCCTGGCAGGGATACAGAACTCCACAACTGAGCCCCTTTGTCTGGGAACATTTTATAGTGAGGAAAAGGATCCCTACATAAGCCCAGATGTTTTACAAAGCCTCTAATATCTCTGTCAAGGATCTCTATTGGCAGTTACGGCATTTCAGAAATCTCAGTGCTGATACATTTCAGTGCTTAACCAAGCTCCAAAAACTGGATCCAACCCAAATCCACATCCCTGCATTGCGCCCTGGCATCAGTGGCAGGAACTTGCTAGCAGAGTTAGTTCTCATTATAAACTCCTTTAAGCACCTCTGCAACATCAACTCTGCTGCCTTCCCCTCCCTTACCTCACTTCACATCAAGGGCCTGCAGCTGGGCTCTGGCTGTTTGAAGAAACTGGCAAAGCTTCAGCACCTTGAATTTAAGTCAGAGTCATATTGCAAGCTCTAAGTGCTGTAATGAAGCGCTGAGTGGTTTGAGCAGTCTTCCTTACCTGAATCTGAGCCACAACATACAGCTCCATCTGCAGGATGTGCTCATTAAGGACAGTCCTAACCTACAGCTGCTTGACCTAACCTTCACTCCTTTTCATATTAACACTTCACAGGGCCCTTTCTAAAATTTGCATATCTTGCAAGTGCTGAATCTTTCCTCCTCCCACACTAATATGAATATTCAGCATCACTTTCAAGGCTTTGAAAACCTCATGCTCTTGGACATCAGTCAAAACAACTTTGGCTTGGGGATCATGCCAAAACACAATCTGTTCCAACAGCTATCCAATTTAGAGGTGCTAATATTATCATCTAGTGAACTGACAACAATAAGCAACCAAGTATTTCACAGCCTCAAGAAGTTACACGTTGATCTGAGCCACAACAAACTTACTGCATTCAGCACAGATGCATTTTCAAATCTCAAGAGTATCTATCTCAGTTTTGCCAATAACAGGATCCATATTGCACCAGGTGACAAACTAGTGTCCCTAGCTGGCCACTGCATAATCAGTTTAAGTTATAACCCTCTGGACTGCACCTGCTCCAATATTGGTTTAATCACCTCGTACAAGCCAAATCTGAATAAAATAGAGGACCCTGAAGGAACAAGTTGGGACTCAGCTGGCCACCGTCTTGTTCTCCTGTGGGATGAACACAGCAGAAATCATTGCAGTTTTCCTGGCTGTTTTCTCCTGTGGTACCATGTTCATTCAAGGTGCTTTGTATTTCCAGCAAAATTAGCAGCGAATTTATGTTTATTATGGAGACACAGAAAAATATCTATAACAATTGTGTTATGTGGAAAGACATTGTACTGGTTTTGTTTGTGACCTTTGTTTTCTTAACTTTGTAATACCCTTTGTATTATAACTTTTAGAAAAATAATGAAAAAATTAGAACCGAAAAAATAAACTTGAATATAAATAACTTGTCTTATAGAGAAATCCCAGTCCGTACCAGCTTGTATAGTAATGCACTTGTAAAGGGAAGATCCAAGGTCCAATATTCTCTTTAAGAAAAGAAAACCGTACCACCATCACTGTCAAAAACAAACAAACAAAAAACACCAAAAAAGAACCAATAAAAAACCAAATCCCACCTTCTATCAAATATCCTTGAAAAGCAATGTTGTTTAAGAGCTGGCAGTAGTGCACCCCACTCTGCTAAACAGTAAAAAAAAAAAAAACTATCTGTGAAGAACAGGCACAGCATTCATAGTCATGTAAGACATAATGCTGCAGGACTGTCAGAAACAGCCTGTATCACTTCTATGATTTCTTTAAAATATTTCTTTAAAATATTCTTGATCCTTAGAAAATTCATGACCATTGGACCTTGTCTGTGCATCTCCCACCCTGAGGCAGGCTGTGCTCCTATGCTATTTTCTAGACTCCACAATAAGCAGAGACTGGCAACAATTTCATCTTTAACCATAAAATTTGTAGATTTGGTCAAGATCTGTTGGCACCACATTTGCTTGCACAGGGCAAAAAACCCCAATGCCAATAGCTATGAAACATTCCTGTGCCAGCCTAGAGTAGACTGTTCTTTCCAGCTGCAGCCCAGGAGAGAAAACTAGAAGCTGCAGAGAGAGAAGTGCACCTCATCCCACAGGTGCCCCTCATAACAACAGCTACTTCACAGGGCTTCTGGTGGGCATTCCTGGAGTGAAATTAGAGTCTTTCTGCTCCAATGGGATATGCAACAGCTAGGCAGGAATAAAGAGTTATTATTTACATAAAACCAAATCACTTTCCCTGCCATCATATCTGAATAAACCCAGTAGCAAGACAAGAGTATGTGCATCTGACCAAGGATCTAATGGAAGACTGCCGTGCCTGCTCATCTGCCCTGTGTTACCATAAAGTGATTTATGTCACTAGTGCTTTAATAACAGGCTAATACAGATGTATAGCCACAATCTTCTTTGGGGGGTATGACCCTTCTGTCCTATGGCAGAGCATACACCACATGGAGTCATGCCCTGTCCCAGCATGGCTCCCTGCTGTGTTATGCCAGGAGCTGAAGTTGCTCTCTGAGACACGGAAGGCAAGCTCTCTCTCAGCACTTGCCATGCAGGACTCCACATTCAATTTCAGCTCCAGCCCAAAGGCATTTCCTCAGCATTTTCCTCTATAACATGCTGAACTAGCTAAAATTTCTAAGATTAGTGCTGGATTACAAAGTTTTTGCTCATTTCTGATGATACTGCTGACAAGAATCCCAGCTTGGTCTTCTCTGGTAAGAACTACCTCTCAGGAAAAGCCCCTTTTATTGTCTATTAGCAGATCAGACACATACGATGTGTATTCTTGCAGCTTTCAGATGCCTTCACCTCACTGTCACTGCCTTACCCTGCAGCTTCTCCTCCTCCCCTTCGTAGCCATGTGTGCCTCCTTTTTCAGTTGCCTACAAACATGCCCAAATTCGGGGTACCAAAGTGCTGCCTCTCCTCACAGCTCTCTGTATTGCTGGTTCATGTTCCCTGTTCGTGTGGCCACTGCCCCTCTCTGCAAGTGAAGCCCCTCCTAATCCCGTCAGCAGGCACTGCGCTCTAGCTGCCCAACACCAAAGCCGCATGAGCTGCCTCCCCCAAGCAAGCCCTTCTGCAGGGGCTGTTCAAGGGAGAGATTTCTGAGCATATCAAGCTGCCCAAGGGAAGCACATCCTAACTTGTCCTTGGGAGCAAGGTAGGGATATTCCTGAACTCAGCCTGGGGTTCAAGGTGCATTCTCCCCTTCCTCTGAAAATCCAACTGCTTAATTGGGCAGCCTCCACTATCCAACAATCCAGCATGATTGCCAGCGTGCTCACCATCCAAGAACGACCTGCTTCTTCCATTGTTTCCCTCTGAATTCAGGGAAGGCTTCAACAAATAGTGACGTTAAAAAGGGGGCATAACACTCCATAGGCATACAAAAAATTCCTGCAAGTATCAGATAGTAACTGCATGAGATACACAAATATTAGTGACTGGAAACTGCATGCTGGGCTGAAAGGTATTCTGAAATGCCTTTTTATTTAGAGAGAACACCACAGGATTTAACCACCACCGGTTTCTGAAATGCCTCCTAACGTGGTGTAAACACATTTGTAGACTTCACTTGGTGAAAACTCAAAGACAGCTGAGAAGGCAAAATGTCTTCCTGTGCAGTATCTGTTTGCACATAGAGTATTAAGACTTTCCTGAAATCCATCCCTTTCTCTCTGCACAACTTGTTTTAGATTGCTGTATATGGTATGTGTTGTATTTTTCCTCTTTTTCTTTACAGTGTCATCTCTGCTCTATTTGCCTGCAAAAATGCCGTTCATAAGACATCCTGCAAACAACGATGCTGAACAGCACAGAATAAGCTGTCCATCGCCCCCAGACCAAACTGCATTTCCTCATGCAATACCCTCTGCCAGCACATACCTTAAGGGATCCACTGAGTTGGCCCAAAAGAAGAAAAACCTTCCTGCCTCTGAGTAGAGCAGAGATGTGCCTTAAGTTATAGCAGTGAGAGAAGTTAAAGAAAAAATGCTAACACAGCAGTGTTTCATGCTGACTTTTTATTTTGTTATGCAACTGCTTAAGTATAAATAATTGTGTTCAATATATAACAATTATGACATCCATAAGGAGTTTCTTAGAGAAAATAAGACTGCAAACACTTTATTGCACAGACCCTAACAATTTTTTTTTTTTTTTTTTTTTTTTTGGAAGCTGAGAAGTCTACTGCAGGAAGTCTACAAAAGAACACATCAGATCTACAATCACATTAAGACTGACCAAGAAACACAGGCAGGAGGATCTCTTAACAGCTCACTTGTAAAGTAAACACCAACAAACAGGTACTACATAAACACAAGCTTATACACTGTTACACTTCCAAAATGCAAAGAACTTATTTGTCAGAAGTGATAATGAACTATACAAAATATACATAAAGGTATACTGTAAACAAAAGCTAGATCTGCTTTAAAGGAAACAAGAGGATAGTTAAAAAATGCAGAGACTGTAAACTACGAAATACCTTCCAGACAGAAATGTTATTTTGAAGTGCATTAGCATTCATTTGCAGTAACTGCCAAAGCACAGGTGAACTGTAAATGTTGAGACCATTTTCTTTTTAACACTTCTCCAAAATTATTATCCATTGCTCACTAGCTCCTCTGTGAATGCATCAAAGGCAGTATTAATGTTCTAGTGCCACAGTTCTCAGAAGCTGTTTGTGGTATTGGCTTTTCCTGACAGTTTTGCTGTAATCCAACTCAACTTGTCAGTACAATAAAGTTTTCAGCAGAAGGAAATGAATTCTGCACACTGTCTATTGTCACACAAATCTCCAAGTCAAGATTACACTGTGCTTTTATGAACAATTTTCTAGCTTTTGAGACAGAAAGACAAACCACAAGCATTGGTGTAAAAGTAGGGGCCTAGCTCTACTATGGTTACAGAAAACAGAAATAAGCAAAATGACCGTTCTATTGATCCCCAATTATTAAAACCCATGCTTACTGCAAGGGCATTTTGTAGTGCTTCTGTACATGTTTCAAATTTTACCTTTCATCTCTCAAAACAAATCAAATATCCCAACACTAAAACGATTAAAGTCTACATGTTCCACAGTATATAAAATTTAAATAAGGCTTAGCAAAAGTAAAAAGACGGTAACATTCTAGCACCAAATAGCTCCAGCAGGTTCCTTTGTTACAAAATGCTTTTTTTGTAATTACAGTATTTAACTTTTTTTGCATACAAATAAAAAGATTATGTTATGAAATGTATGGAGCTACTTAATGCATTTAGAAATGAATGTGAAACCCAGTTACTTGCTAAAAACAGCAAGTTAAGTCTATAACATAAGGCCCCTGCTATGTATTAAAATGTATCAGATATCCTAAATTTTTTTGAAGATATGATATTGAAACTACTGAAACTGGTTTTTTTTCTTTTTTTTTTACCTTACTTGTCATAAAATAGAAAAGAGCTATAGCATTATGACACTAATTACACAGACCTATATGCCATAATATGTATTCTCTAAATGTATTGAAAACAGGGATGAACGTACTAGTACTACCAGTCATGTGCTTATACTTGTGCCTCGCACTGTAAGGGCCTGAATTTAAAAAAGCTCAAGGAACTTGAGAGGATTGCAGCAAAAACTAAGCACATGGCATGTGCTTCAGAGAGTTAGAGCCTTATCTGAGGTGAAGGTCACAGAACACACTCCCAATAGACAAGAACCACTATTTCACCACAGAATATGACTCTTGCTGGGATGCCCTGATAATTAAGTGGTCTTCCCATAGCTTTAAGGACACCTACTCTAATCAGCCTTTGTGCAGTAGGGAGATGCACTTATGTCTTATGTTAGATCTGGTGAAGCAGTCAGCCAGGTACAGTACTATCAAAATCAGATTATTAAAAATACATGTAAAAACTCACAATAGGTCACCATATTTATTCTGTACTAGTATTTTTTTAACCTCTATTTAGGAATTTTAGTAAGTAAAAATGTGGCCTGGTTCTTTCCAGTCAGACCTGTACTTGTGCATGTCCATGCCAAGTCTGTTTTAATAATTTGGTTTCATATTTCAGTATGGCAAATAAGTGGCTAAGCAACTATCTTAAAAAGGGAAAGAGGAAACAATGCAACCAGCAGCAAAGTAGATATGCTACATTCGACCCCCAAACACATCACTAAGTATTTACAGAGGAAATATTTTCTTCAACAGCTCTTGGCTGCAAAGGTATATTTGTACAAATACTATATGGTAACAGTTTTACCGGTTTCAATTGGAAAGGCATTTTGAAAAAAGTCCTCTCTTTACATATCCCCTTGTATTGTTTCTTCAGTGACATGAAAACTTTGCCGCACAAACACACGACACAGTGCTGGTTTAAAGGCAGTACAACATATTGAAATTGTTTTAGCTAGTGTTGAATTTCCACTTGCCAGGTCTTACAGTTAACAGGATTTTTTGTGAGCACTGCTCCGCGAAGCTTCCTTTCCTCGACGCTGCCGGATTGAGTCTTTGTCATCTGAAAGTGCGCTAGGGCGGTCAGGTGTGGCTGCTGACCTGGATAAATCTTTACCTACACTCTGTTTTCTTGAGGCAGACTGCTGAGCCAAAACGGTGTCTTTTCCCTTTACATCCACAGTGCTAACAAAAAGAGGCTTTTCTTGACTTCCTGGTTTCCCCCCAAGATCTGATGCAGGGTAGTAGGCTTCTGCTACAATAGCAGCACTGTGCAAGGCCATCAATGAAACACTTTTAGTCATTTCTGCCTTACTGCTCCCTGTGGAAGAGGTGCTTTTCTTATTTAGTTCCTTGCAAGTTGCAGGAAGCTCAGGTGAGCCTGCTTTAACCTTTGCTGAAATTGCATCACTCTTGGCGGAAGCCAAAACAGGTACTTCTTGCCTACATTCAGAGAAATTGGATGAACAAGTCAGCGGCTTTCCTGGTATTGCAGCCACACGACAAGAACTCTGCCCGCTAGCAGCAGACAAATGTTTTATTGCAGTCTGCTTATTTGCATCCTCTGGCTGTTTCTGATTAACTTGTCCCTTCCCTTTTATATCTTGAAGGCTTTTGCTACTTGTGGTCACTTTTTCTGCTCCTTTCCCTCTGGCATCATAGTTTGGAAGACAAAGGGTGGGCTCTACTTTCCCACTGTCAAGCTGAACGTAAAGTGCATCAGTGCATACTTTTCCTTCGGGTCTTTTGTCTGTAGAGATCGTCTCATTACTAGGATTTCTGTCTGCCTCTTTGTTCCGCAAGAGGCAATCTTTCACAGTGGAAAACTTTGGAGATGTGGTTTGTTTTTCACTGAAGTGAAGTTGCTTTTGATCAGCAGATTCCCCCAAGCCTGCTGGTTCTTGCCTCTGCTTAGAACTCTCTAGGCCTGCTGGTAACAGGCCCACAGCAGAGGATTTGGCTTTGGTGTCAGGGGTGGTGCTGCTCATTTGGAGGGTGGTGACTGAACCATGATCCAAACTCACAGGTCTTTCAGCCTGCACATGCTCACTGTTGATTCTTCTTGAAGAGCCTGGAACAGAAGAAAGGTGATCTAGTACATTTTTACTGGCGTGTTTCCCATCCTTCCGGGAGCTGGCAGACAACTGAATAACAGTTTCTTTTTCTTTTATTGTTGGAGTGCATGGTTTTTGTGACAATGTCTGTTTATCCAAGGATTTAGACTTAGAGGAACTTGTATCAGAGGCTGGCCTGTGTTTATTAGTGCTGCTTTCCACACAGGTGGCAGCAAGTTTCACATGTTCTTGTACACCTACATGAACTTCTACAGTGCAGTGTCTGCTTACCGTGTCTTTCACAGCAGGTGAGCCTGAAGTGTTAATTTGCTGCCGAGGAACTTGGCTGGACTGTTCTCTTTCAGCGGTTTGAAGCCTAGTATCAGCAAGTGGTTTATGATCTTTCTTTCCTAAATCTTTGGCATTGTCCTTCTGCACAGAGGAAACTGGTGCCAGCTTCTCAGTTTTATCATCGCAATCTTTTGAGGGTTGCACAGGCCATTTGGAAGGAAGAGCTTCACTCTTTGACTCTGAAGTAACCTTCTTGAATTCAACCTTCTGCTTGATTATGTCCCTTTCCACAAAACTTTTACCAACACTGCTGTCATCTTTTCCTAGCTGTTTCAGTGATTCTCTGCCATCCTTAGGCTGTGCCTTTGGGGCAGCTGGCTGCATTCTTCCTTGCATCTGAGGTGGAATGGCAAATTCAGCACAACTTTTTTCATTGCTTTTGGAGCAGCTTGTTATGAGGACATCCGAGGCAGATACCTTCACAGATGACTCCCTGATCACTTCCACCTTTGCAGGGATAGGCTCACAACCTCTCCGGGCTACTGACTGTTTGGCAGGCAAGTCCTTCTGTACTTGTTTCTCTTTTCCTGTAGCTTTTTCAGGAGTGCTTTGGACAGCAGAAAGTTTGGAGTATGTCTGAGTAGTTTTAACACTCTGACTTTGAGTAACACAAGACTTTGTCTCCACTGAATTGTCCTTCTGTTTTGAAGGGGAGGTATCTTTCTTTTGAACAGCTTCAATAGCAGAAATACTGCCTTTAGTAGCTGGACTAGAAACCTTTTTTTCTGTCACTGCTTCTGCAGCCACAGGGATAACTGGTGGATTTGGAGACCCCTTGCCTGTGTGCAGAACTTGAGGCTCTGCAATGGTGACTTTGCCAGATTTTGAGTAGCTTAACAACTGCTCTTTCTGACAGGCCATTTCTGTCTTCCCACCACTACCTTGTGGCCCTGGGGGTTTAGAAGATCCCCCATCACTGCTGGTGCTCTGCCCTTCTGGCAGCACACACAAAGGAAGTTCAGTCTTTGAAGCCTGTGGACCAGAAAGCAATGCAATATCTAGTGTGCCTTCTATCGGCTTGAGACAGGAAACAGACCTCCCATCAAGTTTATATTCTGATGGACTTTTTCTGACAGGAGCATCAGTGGAAATAAGGGCT